GCCACCCTGCGCCACCCTCTGCCACCCTCTGCCACCCTCTGCCACCCTCTGCCACCCTGCGCCACCCTGCGCCACCCTGCGCCACCCTGTGCCACCCTGCGCCACCCTCTGCCACCCTGCGCCACCCTGTGCCACCCTCTGCCACCCTGCGCCACCCTCTGCCACCCTCTGCCACCCTGCGCCACCCTGTGCCGCCCTACGCCGCGCCGGGAAACTAGAGGCCTCCATCAGTACATGAAGGTGTTTTAAAAACAGCTGTGAACTCCGGAAACTGTGACTGTTAGTGATGTGAAAGTACTGACCAGTAATCAGATTACTGAGGTAATCAGATTACTGTATAAATCAGATTACTGTATAAATCAGATTACCAAGGTAATCAGATTATTGTATCAATCAGAATACTTAGGTAATCAGGTTACTGTGTGTGACTGACAGAGATGCAGAAGACAGACTACATGGTGTTCGCAGGACGGCAGTATTTCCTGGGAGACAAGTGTCAGGTAAGAAAACACTGCAGGACACAGAGTATCAGAGCTGCGTCCGTCCGTCTGTCTGGAGGTGAACAGAAACATGTATGTTCATATTTATATTTCCTGTCTGTGTGTGTGGACGGCCGTCACTGAAGAGACTCCGTCCACACTTTAAAGCTCCAGTGTGTCAGACTGAGGATTACAAATTACAGATTACATCCAGCTGAAACTTCTCCTGGTCAGAATTCCTTCAGTATTGAGGAGTTGAATTCTTCAGAGGAACAAACAGGTTCAGGTTATAAATCAGCTGCTGATTATGAACATGACAGCTGATAGACAGCTGGTTGACAGCTGTCATCTGTTTGCAGCTCAGTTGATGTGAAGTATCGTTGGCTGAGCAAAGGATTGTGGGTCAGAACAGTCAGCAAATCATCCTGACTTACAGAGAGAGTTTTTCCTGGTGATACATTTTTAAGAAAATTCTTAGAATTGTGACGTTTTCTTAGAATTTCCCTTAAAGTTAAGACTAAAAGTTAAGACTCAAAGTCAAGACTCAAAGTTAAGACGAGGTCCTGGTGAAGATAAAAGTTCGACACAGAGAGGTCAGAAATATTTTCCAAACACTGGATGACAGAGGAAATGAAATGCTACAGATCAGATGTGGCAGTGATGATATCTGTGGATGATGTCATCAGGGATACACACACATTTATGACCCAACACAACGCCATAACATCAGAAACAAAATGATGACATCATCACTGAGGTATGTGAGGTCAGAGCAGCAGTGATGAGTTGAGTCTGTCTCAACCTTCATCAGCAGTGATCACACTAACACTGACACTGTCACAGTCTGCAGTTCATCTCATGTCCACTGGGTGTCCTCACACCTTACAGGCTCACAGAGGGGCGTGTCTCTGACAACTAATCACATCACACCTAACAACAGGGTCGACCACACCTCCTCACTGAGGTCACAGTTTCTGTCCCAGCATTGCTCTGAGAACTTTCCTGAATCATCCTGAGCTCAGATTGCTCACTGACAGTTCGGAGCTGTGTGACGATTCTCAGGATGTCTGTGACTACGCCTCCTGGCGGTGTAGAACATCCTGGTATTTTTGGTGTACAGAACCTTATGGTAGACTGGAACACACAGACAGTATGTTTGCATTTGTTTGGTCTCCTCTCTGATACCCGTCTCACATCGTTACCTCTGTGTTTGTTTCAGGTGCGTCTGGAGCCGAAGGGGAAGTACTACAACGCCTTCATCCAGGAAGTAGGAACACACTCATCAGCCGTCACCGTCTTCATCGAGGAGCTGGGAGAGAAGTAAACACACACAACCTAACCCTCACACAGCCTGCAGGACCACTGAGGAGCAGCTTCTACAGTCTGTCTCTAACATGTCTCTCTCTGCCTCAGACACCTGGTTCCTCTGACTGATCTGAAACCAGTCAATCCAGTTCCTGCCTGGAACGTTGCTGCTCCCACGAGAAAAGGAGACATGGGTACGATCCAGTTACTTTCTACTGATGTGACGTCCTCCTGACTGATGTGAGGTCCTCTTGACTGATGTGAGGTCCTCCTGACTGATGTGAGGTCCTCTTGACTGATGTGAGGTCCTCCTGACTGATGTGAGGTCCTCTTGACTGATGTGAGATCCTCTTGACTGATGTGACGTTCTCCTGACATTTGTTTCTGTCTTTCTCAGATTCCGACTCTCGTGGTCAGCGACATCACCGTCATCGGTACTTCAGGAAGTCTCGTGGCAGCAGTGGAGTGAAGGGGGGGGAGCTGTTAATGTCACCACCATCGACTTACGGAGGCCCCGCCCCCTCTGCTCTGCCTCCCCGCTTCCAGCCAGCAGGCCATCCCCGTCCACCACCTCCCCCGTCACCAGGAGCCATGACCTATGACGCCTACATCCCCCCGCACCATCACCATCCCATAACCAGACCTCCTCGCTACGGAGCTTCCAGGTGTCACTCCAGGAAATTTTGTACTCAAACGTTTTTTTGTTCGACGTTTTCCTGACGATAAAGATTTAAGTTGTTAGCGTGTCTCAGTTCACTGAGCTGTTGTCATTCACACTGACGAGCTCCTGTGTGTGTGTGTGTGTGTGTGTGTGTGTGTGTGTACCTGTTTGTGGATTCTGGTCAGAAGCTCCAGCCGTTTCCTGAACCGACACCTGATTGGTCCACAGTTGACCTATTACCACCCTGGCAGACGATATTACCACGACTACGAGAACTACGCCTTCAGGTCACGGTAACTATAACTCAGTCGGTCCATGTGTGAACTGGCTGAGTCGACTCTGGTCGTCAGTCCTTTGTTACCATCCGTCAGCAGAGTGACTAAATTAATAAAAACAGTCAGTGAATGAAATTAATTTCACATGAATAACTTGTTTATGTGTTTGAACACAGAAACACCATCATCTGTTAACGAGAAACCAAAATAATGATAAACTTCTGTTATTAGTTTCAGTTCCTGAAGTCAGCACGCCTGTATTTGAGACAGGCCTGTCTCAAAAAATGAAAGTCATCATCAGGTGTTTTCTGTGTTTCCTGTGTCTGTTCAGTCGCAGTCGTCGTCAGCTGGCGGCTGCTCTGAATAAGGAGTGTCAGTTTGGTTTCTCTGCGGACACGGTGGAGGAGCCGACTGATCTGGATACAGCCATCACGTACTACCAGCTGGACGACACCGGAGACGCCGTCTTCCCCCCGCTGCCGGTGAGTGTCAAAACCACAGCAAGTAAAGGATCAAACTGAGACTGAGCAGACTTTAACCACTGACCCATCTGAGTTGTGTGACGTACTGTGGAGACTCAACCGTGACTTCGGACACTTTTAAACCTGGACGTGATGCTGGACGGTGTACGTCTCTTTAACTTGGACTCTGAGACTCATTAGAGACTCTGACTGAAGAACTATAAGGCTCACTGAAGGTTTGGAATCGTTACAGACTTCAGGCTCATGTATTCTACCTTCACGTACAAAAATAGATCCGTCTTTTTCAAACGTAAACGTCACTGTCCTCGTACTAATGTGTCCTTTATGATGTCATAGATACAGCCAAAAGATGGCACCAGAGGGCGGAGTCAAAAGTTTAACACAACAACAAACAAGGCGATGGTGGAGGTGGTCATAATAAAATACGTTCAGACAGAGGCAGTGTTGTAGACGGCAGTGGTCTGTGAGGTCACTATACATCCTGACATGTGGGCGGAGAATTCTTTTACTTTTACTGATTCGCTTCATTTAGCCAGTATTCCAGTTTCTTTGTCATCTCTGCCGTCGTAACTCTCAAACCACGTTACACTGCCTCCACGATCTGCTGTGGTTCTGCTCTCAGTACATGAGATGAGATAAGATGAGATAAGATACACCTTTATTGATCCCACAATTTAGAAATTCCAGTGTTACAGCAGTCAAGGAGAAAGAGTCAGATTAAACATTTCAAAATTTAATCCAGTCCATAAAGTGTCCATAGTGTCCCTAAAGTGTCCATAGTGTCCCTAAAGTGTCCATAGTGTCTCTAAAGTGTCCATGGTGTCCCTAAAGTATCCATAGTGTCTCTAAAGTGTCCATGGTGTCCCTAAAGTGTCCATAGTGTCAGTAAAGTGTCCATAGTGTCAGTAAAGTGTCCATGGTGTCAATAAAGTGTCCATGGTGCAGTTTACTGAGAGCAGTGCTGGTTATGTAGCCTGACAGCAGCAGGCAGGAAGGACCTACAATAGCGTTCTTTCACACACTTTGGGTGAATCAGTCTATCGCTGAAGGAGCTCTCCAGAGCTTTTATCTCCTCCTGCAGAGGATGGGAGTCATTAGTCCTCAGAGATGACAGCTTGGCTGTCGTCCTCCTTTCTCCCACCACCTGCACAGAGTCCAGAGAGCATCCCAGGACAGAGCTGGCCTTCTTGATCAGCTTGTCCAGTCTCTTCCTATCTGCAGCCGAGACACTGCTGCCCCAGCAGACCACTCCGTAAAAGATGGCTGATGCCACCACAGTGTCAAAGAAGGTCTTCAGG